GGTTGGGAAGTGAGCAATCAAGCATTTTTTTCATCTCCAATGGTACAAAGAAAGTTTGTGTTCTTTTTCCTCTTTGCACTTTTCTTTTCTGCTATGCTTGAAAAAGAATTCTCTGACTTAAGTGAAGAAGTCAATGTTCATAACAAGTGGATGTCTATACAGTCAGCAATGTTTTAAAGCAAAATCAAAACTTGGTCTGCATCTGGTACTTGATCTTCTCTTTGCAAATGATGCCACTCTATTAGCACACAGTCCAGAAGACATTCAAACTATCCTTGATAAATTCTCTGAAACAGTGAAAGCATTTGGAGAGTAAAGATATACATATACAGATCAGTCATTCTCTCAGCCCTTTTCTATGGTGCTGAAACTTATACCCTGTACCACAAGCACATAAATCTACTTGATGCTTTTCACATGGGCTGCCTTCATACCATATGTGATATAAAATAGGATGACAGGGTCAAGAACTAGTGCAATACTGAAGAAATGTAACAACATCACAGGCACTGAAACCATTCTAGCAAAGATACAATTTAGGTGGGCTGGTCATGTTGTGAGAATGGATGAGCATAGGCTTCCAAAGAAGGTGCTGTATGATCAATTACTAAACTCCGAGCATTCAGTTGTACGTCCATTCTTACGCTACAAAGACAAATTGAAACTTTGATCTGAAAACCTGGGAAGCTCAGGCATCAAGATGAAAAGAGTGGTGTAAGACATGTTTCACTTGGGAGCACCATCTAATTGGGAACAAATTATAAAGAAATATTATACTGAAAAGAAAAAAACTCAATATCTTTTCTCTTTTTTTTTTTTTTACACACATTTATCTTAACAGGAAAATGTTTATTCAATAAAACTGTCCTCAGTCTCAGAAGTAGCTGCTTGCCTGGATCAGATCATAAATGTCTCTATTAGCATTCATGCTCAGAATTGTGTACTTTTTAACAAGTTCTTTATATTGTGGTATTGCTGGAGGTTAATGATGTTGTGGGTTTTGCATTTTTTCTTCTTTTTTTTTTTAGTTGAAGGTGTGTGTTCAATATGTAAACAAAAAAGATACATGAAGCATACAAAAAATTTTTGTTTCTACTATGGACATTTATTTATTTAATGTTTACTGTATTGAAACAAAGTTAAAATGTTTCCTGAGTATGTCTGTTTTGTTTTTTGCTTCTGAAACTGATAAACATGGTCGAGCTCAAATCAGCCTTGAGCTGAGTTGGGAAGACCAAGTATGTTCATTTTTCTTTTTGATTCTGAGATGGGAAGTAAAGATATAAATGGATGAAGCTGGTTGAGTTCAAGTCGGCTTTGAACTGAGTTGAGAAGACCAAATCTCTAGTTCATCAGTCATCTCTCTTTTTTTATGTGCCGTGTACCTTCAGGACGTAGGTGATCATGGCCCTCTACATCCTCCTATCCCTTAGTAACTCTTAATTAAGTTTTGTCTTTTTGTTATTTCTCCTAGATCCTGTTCTACCATTCATTTGTTCAAACCCATTAGGTATGTCACGTGTTGCTTTCCCCTGTCCCTCTTTCCCTTTATTCGTCCTATGAGCATCAAATTTTCTAAGCCCTCCTTCCTCATGTGTCCTAAAAATTTAATCTGTCTCTTTCTGAACTTAAATGTAAGTTTCCTTTTCATTTCCATTTTCTCGAAAATCTTGTTGCTCACATGTTCAGCCCATGGTATCCTTAGCATCCTTCTGTAGAACCACATTTCTGTTACTTTGAGTCTCTTTTTCATGTTTCAGGAGAGTGTCCAGCATTCGCTACCATACAGAAGGACAGATATTACATAACAGTTCAGTACTCTTTTCTTTGTTTCTAACAAAATTTTCCTGTCTCTTAATACCCTGCTTAGCTTTTGGAATGCATCTTTGACCATCCCAGTATGTCTTCAGATCTCAGTGTCACACTTCTGTCGTCTGTTAAGATACTTCCCAGATATTTAAATTTCTGTACCTGCTTGATTTTAGTATCCCCAACTTGTAATTTCCATTTTGGGCTCATCTTTTTTTCTGATGACCATGAATTCTGTCTTGTAGTTTATGCTTAGTCCCTTCTTCTCCCTCTCTCTCTCTCTCTCTCTCCTTTGCTACCTTCTGTAGAAGGTTTTGTAGTTTCCTTCCATATCTGCTGTCAGATTTGTGTCATCTGCATATCTTGTTAAGATTCTGGCTGTCAATGGTGAATCCTGGTAGGATTTCTACTTCTCTCAGAATTGCCTCACTGTATAGGTTGAATAAGTCTGGTGAGAAGACACATCCTTGCCTTACACCCCTTTCTATTTTTGTATATCTACTGAACTCATTTTTTATCTGTATGCAGTTTGCTGCCAGTATAGATTTTTAATTATTCTAATGTCTTTCCCGAATATGTCCAGGTTGCTGAGAAGTTCTAATAGATCTTTGTGACATATTTTATTAAACATCTTTGTGTAGTCTATAAAATACAGGTACACGTTCTTCTGCATTTGTATTCTTCTTTCTCAGGGTTACTCTCTTGCTCTAGAGTTTGACCGCTATATCCAACACCTTGATGTAGGGATGATATTTGTCCTGAGGGGTCCTGTGGAAAGAAATGAGGTATTATGACACAACTCTCATTGTTTGTGACCCCTGGAACTTGGTGTGTATCATTGTGGGTACCCTTTTGGTGGTTTGTACAGAGCCACCTGTTGTTCTCTTGTTCGCCTTCTGCTCCTGATTGAAGTTTCTCTCTTTAGAGAAGAACCAGAGCACACCAGGATCCTTAGGATTCTTGAGTTTGTTCAGCAAGTGCTTTGACTGGATTGCATACTTATTGTGGGTCTTGTCTCAGGCATGAACTGCTTTTTTCTCATCAAATAGTATTATAGCTGAAATCATTATGCACAGCTGTTTAAAATCCTTGTTTTTGTCATACTGGAAAATCCAACATCGTGCGTAAACGAAACATTCGGTGAAAAATCCCATTCATCAGTAACATTTTAAACACCTCATAGAATGTAAAGTTCTTAAAGCAAACCTGTGCCAAACTGTTTTCCTGAATCTGTGATGACTTGGCTGTCCAAAAATGACAACATTAAGATGAAATGATGGAAACTGAGTGTGTAAAACACAATTATGCACAAGTTTTTGATCAATCAGTAAACTTCTGGACCTTTTCAGGTGGAATTATAGGATCCAGACGGCTATTGTTTGCACATGGAATTATTCACTGGTAATTAATCTTCAATTTGGCTGTGGAAAATATCACTCGGCAGTTAGCATTAAGAAATTATCCCCAATTTTCTGAGAAAAATCCCCTTTTTTTTATGAAAAAATATTTATTTTCACTTCAAAATAATATCATTCAAAGGTCATCCCTTTCTCCTTAATTTGGTGAGAACATCATTGAATTTTCATTATTTTTTCACATTTTACCTCCTGAAAAAAAAATTTTGAGTCATTTATACCAGCCAATTTTACTTATAAATGAAAGAATATATCCTTTGCTTTCAGAAAATACCTAATTTCATGGGGTTCAGATCAAAAGTTTCCTTGATATTTGTTTAGATGATGATAAAACAGTCATTTTTCAATATTTTACCCTATAAAAGTATGAAAATCCATTTCTTTCAGAGAAAATAAGCTGTGACAAAATGAGTTTTGCCATTTTTGTGATGATTTTTACTTGGGATAGAAAACCTGAATTGACTTTAAGTTCAGTGGGGCTATAGGAAACCTCAAACAGCTGTGTATGCGCCACATGTCTGACTTCAACACCTTCAGCTGCACAGCAGCGACCCTCATCAAAATTGTTGGGATTAGGATATCCTAATCTTGCTGAATTAACTTGCTTATCTTTATGCCATCTGACCAATTGAACTCTCTTGACCACAGATGACACATCTCTGCCAATGGCTGTCAGCTTGTTTCTGATTTTTAACACAGAGGACCTGGCTACGTCCGCAGAAATGGCTATCCTCAAATCTCTGTGGTTGGTAGTTAATGCCACAATCATGCTGTGCCTTTTTATTTCCTGTCTAAGATTGAAAAGCATGTTAATGTTCTCAGTATATATGAAGTTGATCGATTTATTTTTTTACAGCTTATCAACCTTTTGTGGGTTATTTAAAGCCAAAACATTTTTTGGTTTGTATGTATAATTTTTTTTATGAGTGAATAACAATTTTTTGAACATAACAATGATTTTTCCAGATACAAGTCCTATTGTTTAACCCATAGATGGGGGAAATATATGGATTAATACCTTTCCAAAGGGTATTTGCATGTGAGTGAATGTCCTGAATTTGACTAGAATTCAAACTCAGCTCTCCAATTTCTCATTCCAAGCCACTACACATTACACCACCCACACCTCCACCCTATACATCTAAAAGAGTAACGAGAACTTGGTTCATACCACATATTACTTTTGGTTGTTGATTCATAAGCAAAGTTGGCAATTTGATAAAACAAATTGTAAAATTCGAGAAAATGATGAGACTGCTATCAAAATGATATAAATTTCTTTTTGAAATTCAAGTTTTCAGTTTTCATGGTTATTATTTGGTGCTACACATTCTTCCTAATATTCTACCCTTCTTTTCATTCTGTCTATGAAGAATGTTTTTGATTTACTTTTGAGTCAGTTATAACTTTAATTTCAGCATCAGATGAAAAATATTGTCCCTTCATTGCCTTCTTCAGTTTTAAGACTAAACAAAACTCTGGAGTGTTCACTTTTCCCACAGTACAAGAAATTTATGCTGGGAGTGACAATATGTCCTGAAGTCAATAAATTTTCCACTCTTTCCAGTAAGGTTTTCAATTCTTTAAATAAGTATCACAGTGTCCTTTATGACGATGCCTTAAAAAGAGATCATAACTTATTATTCTTAACTATTTAATGCTTGTAATGAACAAGTAATTTTGTTGGCAGCAGAGGCATGAGTTGGTAAAAAACCAAATTCCTTTGTTCCCATAATGCCACTCTTATTCAACTTGTCATCCTCTCTCTTGTTTCAGATGGAGATTCTTTGCCATTGCAATGTGCACCAAACTGTGGACAATTTGAAAAGCAGGATTTTAATTTGGCGTCCAAACAAGCATCAAAAAAAGTCCTGAATGTCAGGTAAGTAGATAAACCTTTGGAAGGTAAATTAAGAGATCTATACTTTAAAAAAAAAAAAGAAGACCATAAACTACACTTTTCAATTTTTGATTAGTAAATATAGTTTTCACTTAATAACAATATCACCTAACGAGATTAAGCTAATGCAGAATTTTAAAAGATTTTTAAAACATTATTATAATTAATTATTACAATTAAAATTTTTAAAAATGTAAACAATTCTTGTAAAAATTCATTATTCATCAAAAAAAATTTTTTTCTTAAGACAATAGTGTCCTTAATAAATCTTATTTCTAAAAGCAGTTAAAAGCTTTTTGAATTAAATAATGTCAGTTTTAGTGCTTTTTTTATTTTACAATTTGGAGCAGATTTTTAGGAAATGAGTAACTGTTTGAAAAATAAAAAATTGATGATTTACATTCTCCAAGGAGTCCTGCTTTTAACCAATAAAACAAATTTTGGGACTGAAATTTAATTTCTTGAAATTTCATGAAATTATGTGGGGGTAACTTATGTTAAAAAAATTTCATTTGTGAATAAGACTTGAAAGTTTCATTCAATTCTGACAATTATTTGATTTTTGCAAGAATTTCCAATTCTATGTGTTTTTCACCTGGAAAAATAGGTGCTAAAATACTACTCTTAAAAAAAAAAAAAAAATTAACCAAAATTTTGAATGTGCTAAAAAGATTAAAAAACTTAATAAAATAATAAAAAAAAATACTTTGGTCTTTCGTCTTAATAATAACATGAAAATTTTGACAATAAAATTTTGTTTTTATTAAGTTTAAGGCCTTCTTTCACATGCTATGATGATTTTTCAGCAAAGAAGTGGCTAGAAAATTCACTTTCTGATCATGAGACACAGGTTCGAATCTAACCAACGTCTTTATCCACTGGGCTCAGTGAATAAAGACATTGCTTAAATCAAGTGAGTAGACTCAAAGTTGTGAGTTGAATACCAGGCCACAGCATTAGTGAATCAAAACTTGAAGAGTTAAAGGGAAATAACTGAGACATCTGGAAGAGGCAGGACATGTGGAACTAGAACAATCTACCCCGGTGGACAAAATAAAGAGTTTGGTTCTAAATTCCAATCAGCTGATGAAGGCTGGAGCGTACAACTGCCGAAATGTTGTGTATATGGCAATGAGGATGAGGGTAACAGTCTAAATAATGTAAATAATTCAAAATCATAATAATTCATCTCAGATAGTTTGTATTTAAGTATGATACAAAAGTTTCTAGTACAATCTTTCACATAATGTTTAAGAAATCTTAGAAGTGTCATTGAAGTTTATTAAGCTTTCTTGTGCTTACTCAATTAGCCAAAAATACAAGGAGGTGCTGAAAAAGTCTCAGCACTTCCTTGATTCATATACCTTCAGAAGGAAAATGAGTTTCATATGAAGCATTGGTCAGTATTTAAATACTTGTCTTTCTCTTGATAATCACAGAAAAAAAAAGTCATTTCATTAAAAAAAAAAAAAAAATATTGGTTATCTCCCTTTGGTAGCTAACGCCTGCTGATAGAAAGATGAGTTCATTTATCTGATAATAATGGGTAAGACCCAAAATTAGGCGCCAAAGCTGAGATGCCCCAATGACCACAAACAGAACAGCTACTTTAGCCTACTCCAAGAACAGGTGATGCTGTCCATGAGCAAACCTGAATAAGGAAAAGACAAGCAGCTATCAGAAGAAGCATAAGAGCAGCATCGGATAAATGTTTCAATCAATTTCAAGCAGACACATGTATTTGGATATCGTCCACAATACCATGACTTTTAACTGTTAAAAGAATGTTTTTAGCAATCCTCTATTCTCATTTTCATATAATGTATTTCTTATATAAAGTATTTTTTTTAAAACTGCTTGTTTCATCTTTGTTCATCAACTATGACTCAATTTGAGAAGTTTCTAAATTTTTCACAATCTTTGAAACAAAATCACCGATAATGATGAAATAATGAATTGATTACCAGAATCCAACTTCAACATTTCAATCTAAAATTGAATCTGCTGGAGTGGAAAAAAAATTTTTTCTGTGTTTAGCTAAGATTCAAAATAATTTTTTCATGAATTTCTGGACACCTTTGACAATACAATGGTACAGTAAGCAACTGGCTTGTTTGAATGTCACAGAAAGCAAATAATCTGAAGATTTTACTGCATGACACCTTTTCTCCTTGTCCTACAAATGTAACAGAAAAAACAACCATGAAGCTTGGATTAGAAATTCTTCCACATGTGGCATATTCATTGGATCAGTTTTCTTCTTCTAAGAAGCATTCAGTAATTAGTCAAGAGAAAAGGCATAAATATTAAATGAGGCTAACGTAAGAATACATCTTTGGTGACAAGGCAAAAAATCATTCCAGCTTGATTCAGAAGTTTTTCTCTTCCTCCACCATCTTTAGTTGATATTTTCTGCCTATCATTGATTTCCTTATTCTGGTCATTATGGAATTCTTTTCATGAAAAAATTTCAATTCCTCCAACACTATAATCAACATCTGCAGAAGATTGATTGATTACAAGTCCTGTAACCCTGAGAATTGCAGAGGCACCACAGGTATGGCAGCCGCATCAGGGTAAGATAGCCTGACAGATCTCAACCCTCTTCAGGCTGGTTCTATAGGAACCATTCTGTCCTGCTATTTACCCATAGCTGGGAGGAGAAGAGATGGATTATATACCCTTTTGTCTAGGGTATTATCACATAAGCAAATGTAATAAACTCAACTGGAATTGGAACTCTGGCTCCAATTGCGCATTGCGAGCTGGTATCTATTAATCCACCATGATGGCAGAAGGTAGTGGCACAAAATGGTAAATATATTGTTCTATAAAATTAAAATTGAAAATAAGAATTTTTTCTTTTATTTTTACTTAATGAGCAAAAAATAATTTTTTTGGCAGAAGCTCAGTTGTTTCAAAATTACAAAAATAAAAGTTCAACACTTGAACCCTCATTTCAAGTAAATTCTCAGTCAAAATGCATTTTCCATATACAAATCCTTAAGTGGCCGAAACCCAAAAAGGTGACAAGGTTATTTTGGGAATGAGTCACACTTGATGATTGAATTCCGTCACATAATTTTGAAAGTCCTTTATGAATTTTAAATGTTAAACAAGTTTCATTATTGAATATTTTGAAATGGCAAAATATCTCAAATATTTTAAAATGGCAAAATCTCAAAAGTTATAAGAAATGGAATTAATAAGGAGTAAATGAAAAGTTTTTGTTAAATTTTGCATGAAATTTCTTGAAGCTGGAAAGTGATAAAACTGAAAGAATTGTCATATTGGCCAAGTGTTTAGGTTAAGTTAGTGTGGGTTTCTTTGATTAACCAAGAGAACTGGACAGAATTCTGATTTAGAAATAAAAAATTTGTCTCTGTTATTCAAGTTGCTAAGAACTGGATCATGTGTGCCTTGCATTGCTGGGAATGAGCCAAGCTGGTCAGCACATTTACTATATTTTTTTTCTGTTTGTTCATGTCCTCCTTTTCTTTTATTCTTTTTTTAAGAAAAGAGACCCTTCAGCCTGCTTATGGACTGCTCACCTGAAGAAGACTGAAGAATGGATTGTCTGAAATTTGTGGAAATCCCACAGAATATGCTCATTAGTCCAAGCAATTCTTGGAATAAATCTTTGTATTATTTTGTTTCAGTTTATTAGACGGAGGAAAGAGAACAAAGGACACCATAGAAGCGATGGGTGCCTATGATCAACCAACATACAGACCTCACCCTGGCAGTAAGTAAAAATGCTTTTTTTTTCTCCACCTGTAATCTACCAGAAATTGAAATGCTAGATAATTCTTAAAAATGACTATTGATCAGAACTCTTTGTTATAACATTCCTGAATCGCAGAGATATGCATGGATGTAAGTTGTCATCAGATAGTACTTGCCACCTGCTTGGTAGATTCTGTCAAGACATTTCCTTGATAATAAGCAGCAGGCTGAGTAGAGAAAGCTGAAGGTTTGACAAAAATGAACAAATGTTCCCACAATAAGACAGTGTGTCAAAAGGACTCTTTTTTTTTCCCATGACACCACTTCTTTTTTTTTTTTTTTTGTTAACTACCTTCGTTCTGCAAGAACATCGTAAAGTGGTAACACAAAGGGAAATAGAAAAATCAGGTGTAGCTGACCACATATGTAGGGAACTGCCCCCTGTGGGATGAGGTTGAAATAATAATAGAGAACATCATTGGAAAATACAAAAACTTAAGGAATCAGCCACAAAAATCTCCTGAGACAACCAAGCATAGAAATTAATACAATATGGAAACCATTAATAAGGAGTGCTAGGGAAAAGCAATAAATAACAACGCAAAAAATATGCAATAATAATATTGAAAAATTGCAATGTGAGCACTGGTAAAAAACAGATGCGAGACATTAGGTTTATAAATCCCAGAAATTCATACACAGATGTCCTCAGGGACAGATGGCCTAGTGGATAATGACATTGGTTAAATCCAGTGACTAGGCTACAGCAGTGGAGAGTTAAAGGAAAATAAGTGAGAGATCAGGAAGAAGCATGGCATATAAAACTAGAACAATTTACCCTGAAATAAAGGGTTTGGTTTTAAATTCTAATCACCTGAAGGAGGCTGGAGCATACAATGGCCAAAACATTGTGAATATGGTGATGAGGATAACAGTTTGAATAATGTAAATAATCATAATACATCATCTCAGAGATATAGACAAGTTAATGAAACTCCTATGGTAAAATGGAAAATTAAAAAAAGAAGCTAGAAAATGTAGATTTTTAAATGAACCTTGTTTTTTTATGCTTGCATGACAAACTAGAAACAGATTTTCTGATAACTCCTTATTAAACCAAAGAAATGAATTAAGTGTAAATTGTAGGCATAGTCTACCTTTTACCTTACAATATGTTTAAACTTTGAATTTGATAATACTTTTTCTTATAGTCATAATCAGTAGATGAACTTCAGTGCACCTTATATGGCTTACTATTCTATTCGTAAGATTTATCTTGATTTAATATAGCTCTATAATGATGTTTAGTTAGTATTATTGACATCTTACATCGATTAATTAGTATTATTAACAACTTATATGAATTCTCTTTACTTAATGGTTGCATATTAATTTACCAAAGTAGTTTTTATATTTATGATCTGATTTTCTTCTTTTTTTTATGGTTATTTACCAGTTTCTTAAAGAGGCCTTTTAATTATCAAAATTTTATGTAGGAAACTGACCGAGGATATAATTAACATTATTTTAGATTATCCTTCCTTAACCCTTTCCCTTTAACATTTTGTAAAAGTTGAATATCACACTTCTATATATATTATTTGTATTTGTAGCAAATGGAATTTTCTAGGATTTATTTGCAGATCACTTCATATAATGATCTATATAAATTTTTTGGTTAGTTTGAATTCAGCACAGGTCACATTTGATTGGCTAATTGCGGTAAACCCACAAACCTCATTTTATTTTAATTTTTTTTTTGTCAAAAGAAAGAGGAAGTATTTTATATTTTGAAATTAAATTAATCGCTCACTCACCAATAATTTACCATCACCTGGGGAGACACATTTGTAGTGTTGAAACACAATTGTTATTGTGTAGCAATTTGTAACATTTTTTTTTTAATTTCCTACGATAAATAATATTTAGCTCTACTCTGTATTGAGCCTTCTTTTAAATTAAATGTTATAAACAGTGGAATTATGCTTCATTTGTTCTCACCTTACCTAGGATATATATATATATATATATATATATTAGTTTACATTGTCACCTATATTATACAGGTGTAATTCAATTTGGCTGATTGTTCTTTATACTTGATTTGTAATCTTGTTGCTCTCTCGTCATACCAAGTAACCTAGAACTTTGTGTTATTTTATCTGCAATTCTGGTTCACTGTGTGTCACTCCTAAATGCCTTGCTTCTCACTCCTATTTACAATTGGTTGCCACTTCTCCTTCCAGAGCAAGAGACTCTGCTTAAAAGTGAGATTTAATGGTCAAGATTGAACAACTCAGGAGCCGTACTCATTCATTTCTACACTTGGCTCACTGAGGAATAAGTAGTGGTGGTGGCAGTGGTTGGAGGCAGTGTTGTTGTGGTGGTAGTAGTAGTAGTGAGAGTAGCCAAGAGAGGAAGAAGATTTAATTCTGAAATGTTATTTCTGATGTAATATTTTTCATTTGCAGAGTGTTACTATGAAAAAGAAAAGCAGAAGTTGGCCAACATTATGACGTACGGCAAAGATATGCAAAAATGGCAACGGCAAGAACCAAAGCCCAAGCCAAAGGAACCCGAAGAAATTGATCGCTTTGAAGAATGTAGGATATTTTTTGTTCTTGTTCTTTTAGGGTTGTGGGTTCAATTCTTGAAGTGACTAATTGCTTATTACTGGCCCGTGTTGTTTACTATCACCAGTAGAAAGATACACCGTGAGTTAGCAATTGAAATTAAAGATAAAAATAAGTCAGGATTGAAATTATGGATAAATGTTCATGTCGAGTTGTTTTTGTTCAAGTAATTTTGGCCGTCTCAGTCATTTTGGGGACTCGTGCTACTAATGTAAAAACAATCAGCTTTCTATAAAATACCAAGATCTAGCCAATGGAATCTTGCCTACCACACTGACAACACATGGTTCTTGATAATGACTAAGATGGTCAAAATTATTTGAACAAAAGCAACAATATAACATTGGACAGTTTATCCACAATTTCAATTCTGATAGACATTCAAAAATTGGGGAAAAAAAATACAATAAAAATTTTAAACTGGAAAACCTTGTTTGAATTTAATAAAACGTGTGTGTGTGTATGTATGTATGTATGTATGTATGTATGTATACATACATATATATATGGTACACATTCTACAAACTACAGCCACTGGCCGCCTGCCGATTGTGTGCAAACACAGGAAAACTAACAGCTGCTTACTTGGATTTTGCTTTAATCTTGAATTTCTGATGGCATTGAGCTCACTTTTGTGAGTTGGAAGCTTTTGGGCAGACTTTTTTTTCTTTTCTTCTGAGCTGCTCATCCTTTTCTAATATTCTAAATACTTAGATACTTGTCTTTAGTGGCTCCATTCAATAGAGAACTTGTGTCTTGTGTGTGGTGGGGGTCTTGAACTTTTAGCTCCTTTACTGTGGCGTTATTATCACTTATGTCATTGAGAACTTTCCTTTGCCATAATGGCAAGACTTTCCCCAGTAGAACTTTTTATTTTAGTTCTAGACTATTTTTGATCTTAGCCAAATGGTTTACACACTCCTGGACAGGTTTGGTTAGACTGCCATATTAAACTTGTCTGGTGGTATAGAGGTTACCCATTCTACAAATTACAGCCACCGAACAATTGAATGAAACTAGCAATTGTGGCTGTTCAATGCCTACCTGGATTTTGATTTAATATATATATATATATATATATATATATATAAGGGCAGGTTGATTTTGGAACCATGGTATTGCACTCAATTCAAAAGTTGGGGTTTGACATGATGAATAATGAAACAAAATATTTTTTCTCAAATTCTTACTGTGTTTTTGAGGAGATTAGTTTGAAGATTAAGTTTACATTTAAAATTGTAGCATTGGAATTCTTTTCCAGTGATCAGTGAAAGCCTTATAGCATAACCTTATAAGATTTATAATTTTCTGAAGCTTTATAAATTATATATGGAAAGGATGCAAGGCACATGCACATTATTACTAAATCTTCGTGCCATCAAATAAGACCTTCATTCATTTCAAAGGAAAATTATACTGAAAAATTTAGCTATATTATGATGTAATAGGTTATACGGTGCAGTTGTTTTAGTGTGATTTTCAATAAACAATGCAAATTTAAAACATTTTGTCTTATAATGTGTGCCCAGCAGTATTATGATGTTATATACACTTTTATCTATTTTTTGTTTTTATTAATTATGATCTAAAAAATCTTATTTGTTGAGTAGACTTTTCTGTAATCTTTTACAATTTTTTACAGTTTCTACTTATTGAATATAGCAAAAACAAAATTGCTTATTTTGCTTGTGGTGATTCATAATTAAAATTTTGGTTTCAATATATTTTCCATTCAATGTATCTAATATAAAAGATATCAACTTTATTTAGACATATTCTTGAAATAGTCAAATTTTGAAGTCAGTTTGTAAGCAAAAACCTGTGGAAATTAGGTATTTCTGTACATTTTTTTTTTTTCAGATCTTTAAAACTAAATGCTCAAAAATTGGTAAAAGCTATGAATCTAATATTTGGTGTAATCCAACCCCAGCTTTTTACATTGAGTGCAATGTTGATTTTCTAGAAAAGTGAAAAATTAACCTACCCTAAAATATTTGTATTGAGCATGGTTTTTTAAAAATAAATGCTAAGAATTCTGAATTATTATATAAATACCATTGTTCTTTCCTATTACTTTAATATATATACAATTTTTTTCTACACCAGTAGCACAACTGTTTCATGCACAATGCAATCGTCAGGAGCTGGTTGAAAACTTTTCACTCACTACCTGATTGTATTGTGCATAAAACTCGATTGTGCTGACAGTGAGGAAAAGTGTACATTAATTAATATAAATTATAGCTCTTGTTATTATATACTGAGCACTATTTTATTAGCACCAGCATTCAATGTGCCATATATATATATATATATATATATATATATATTTCAAGGTGCCTAGAATCCTGGGTCCTTGTTTAGGACAAACATGCAGTTTGGGTTTCAATCTTGGGTGTCATGGCCTCCAAAATATATGAAAACACAGACCACATTCCTTCACAAACTTGGATAAAAATGGTTTGTGATTTGTGATGTTTATTCAAAAATCATGAGATACTGTCTTTTGCCATGGCTCAAGGCCAACTACCCTGGAGGTAAGTATCTGTGGACCCAGGACAGAACTCCCACCAACATGGCCAAGAAGATACAGAACTTCTACAAAGCTAATTTGGACCTGAACTCATCAGACAACACTGTGTGCGGCATTTTGGAGCAGGCCACTAACAAAACCTTCCACTCTAACAATAATACCCTCAAAGATAGCATCAAGGAGTAGGCCAAGATGTCCAAGGACTTTGTGTTTCAGAATTGAGCATCTTTTGTAGCTGAAAATAACAGTAGCCACAGTGAATAAATTATTTATTTTGATATTTTATAAGTTTTATTAATAATTTGTATTAATTGGCCTGAATGAGTTTCAAAGGTTATGGCAAGTTTGAAAGACTCACTTTTCCTCCTTGTACATTCGTGTGTATATGTCACATATGAAACAGTTACAATACTCTGATCCAAGACAAAGTATTGATCTATACAAACATAATGCTCTCATTTTTGATGGGTAGCATGCTAATAATTTTTTTTTTTTTTTTCACTTGTTTTAAAAGAAATTGCAAGAGTTTTTTTTTTTTTTTTTTTTTATGGTGGGAGGAGGTAAATATGCTTAGATCCATAGTTTCTCTTTTTGTATTTTAATATGAACATAAATCTATTTTATCTATTAATGAAAGATCTTGTTTTAATTTCAGTACAAAATGAAATTGAGGAGCGGTATGTGTTTCTACAAGAAATGGAGTCTTTGGGGAGAGGAAAAAAATACAAAGCAATGATACAGACAGAAATTTCACAGGTGAGGAGACGAGAAAGTCATTGTAAATTATCAAAACAGAATGGGGATGTCAGGAAATTTTTCTCCCAAGTCAGCCTGCAAGGCAAAAAAACTTTTTTTTCCTTCTTGTTGTTCATTGTTTGAAGAAATTTAAAATATATTCCCTTTAGAATCTGTCTAAATCAAGGACACTTTATCCACTGTGCCATGTGTCCTCAAGGACACATGGCACAGTGGATAAAAGCATTGGTTAGATCCAGTGACAGAACCCAAAGAGTGTGAGTTCAATACCCGGTTAAGGCAGTGGAGAACTTTCAGAGGGAATTAACAGGAAATAACTGATAACCGACATCCATCAAAACATGGCACGTGGAACTAGAACAGTCTACCCCAGTGAGCGAAATAAAGAGTTCAGTTTGACATTCCAACCACCTGAAGAAGACCGGAGCGTACAACGGCCGAAACGTTGTAATAAATATGGCGACAAAGATGAGGACAATAGTCCGAATAATGTAAATAATGTATATATTCCCTTTATTTATACAGAGAAGAGTTTTCTATTTTAAATATTTTTAAAAAAGCTTTTTAATGCATATAAGAATAACTTTTTTTTTTTATTCACTCATTAATAGATTTTCATTGTTTCATTTTCAAAAGGAATGTGTCAGAAATTTAAAATGATTTTGTATTTTTACTCTATTCTGGTTTCTGAATTCCATAATTTTTCAGTTTGATCCCAATCAATACATTCTTCTTCATGTGCTGTTTTCCTTTAGGACATAGGTGATCATGGCTCTCCACACTTTCCCGTCCCTCATAGTTCTTAAAAAATTGTTGTTGTTTTATTATTTCTCCTAAACCCTGTTCTGCCATCTGTTTACTGAATTTCACTAAGTGTTGTTTTCTTCTGTCCGCACTTGACTTGTCAATCTTGACAATCTGTCTTGTGAGTATCAGATTTTCCAAACGTTAATAAAAAAAAAATGAAGAGGAATAGAAATTGCAATCTGTGGATGCAGGAGAAACTGAAAAATCATTGAATTCAAGAACATGAATGAATTAATAAACAAAGGGAATGAAATTGTTTCAAATTGTCAGTCTTCTGACTCATTCTGTTTGAAAAACGTGAAAAAGAACCGTAGAACTTATGAGCTTCCAAAAGAAACAAATGTTCATTTTGAAAATTTCATAATGAAAAAGAAGCTCTTAATGGCCACATAATCAAAAACTTATATATATATCTGTGTGTAAAAGTTCAGATATATACTCATAACGTGATGTTTATTTTAAATAAAGTTGTACTTTTTTACTACAGTAAATGGATATATGGTTTAGCAACGGAATAGCCAGGGTCAGCAGTACATATGCTAATTTTATATCTTGTGTATGATGCAAACCCCTTAAAGTTAGCTTCAAAAGTTGCATGATATGTAATTATATACGGTAACTAAAAAATAAACCTGTAAAAAGAAGTTTACCAAGGCAAATGTAAGGATTTTATTTTGCTACAACTATTTAGAAATAGAAGTAAAAATGTTAGTTTTTCAAATTTTTTATTTTTAAGAATGTTCATAATATGCTTCAGACTGAAAGTCAAGGCAAACTATGGAAGATGCTAAGCGATGTAATTTAATGATGTAATAAACAAAAGTGAGTAAATTTTATTCTTGTTGAATTTTTTTGATGTAATTATTCATTTATTTTATTTTAGTTTGAGAAATTAATTTATTTTAAATAAGAGAAGTTTTTGAATTTAACTGTTTTCTTTTAATTTAAAAAAATTTTTAGTCATGAATGTTGGCTTGGGAAAGGAGTATTTCCTTTAGGGAAGGAGATATTTGAAAAAAAATCTGGGGTCAGATTTACACTTTGACAAGATTTGATATTGGCACTCTCAAGAATTTTCCAAGCAAGTTATTTTCTCTTTTAATAAGTGACATTCTTTAGATTGATATTGTAGTTGAACTTAATTATCTGTATGATTAATGCATTTGATAAACTATTGTGTATAAGATTCCTTTTGTGTTCATAGACACTTTTTTTTTTTTTTTTTTTAGATTTCTGCAAGTTTCCTCAGTAAGGAGCAGTTGTGATAGTTTATTTTCTATATACCTACCTTCAGAATTATTAGGGACATTTTTGGTTCTGACCATACCTATAGTAGTTTAATTTGGGATGAGATTGTAATTATTTTGGTATTTTTAAAATTGGATAAACTCTTTTGAATAGTGGATGTTATGGCATTATGGGTAATATTATATCTGTTTTTATCTAGTTTACTGACATTGTTGTTACAAATGTCTTTTTTGAAATTGTGGATGTTAAGTTTTAAAAAGTGTTTTCTATGTATCTTTCTTAAAAGAAAGAATCCTTTCCTAAAACCAAATACATAACTATAATTTCTTTTTTTCTCTCTTTTTTTTTTTGGTTAAATTCAAAATTTTCTAGTATTTAAAATAAATTTCTCAATCTAAAATAAAATAATATCTACATTAAAAAAAATTCGACAAGAACAAAATTTACTCACTTTTGTTTATTAGACATTAAATTATATCACTTAATATCCTCCATAGTTTACCTTGACTTTCAGTTAATCTGATGTATCTTTATGAGTGTTCTTAAAATTAACGAACTAACATATTTTACTTTTGTTTATAAATACTTACTGCAAAATAAAATCCTTACATTTGCCTTGATAAGGTTCATCAGAAGACAAAACAAGTCAGCAAAGATAAGTTTTCATGTGTGTGTGTATGTGAACACTTACACGTATATTTATTTGATTATAATGCTTTGAAGTTGTCTGCATTAAAATCTGTTCATTATTTTCTTTTAGAGAATCCTTGAAATGGAAATGATCGACAAAAAACGAACACTTGAATTGGAAAAGTTACGTGCAGAAAAAGAGAAACTCCGAGTACAGGTGAATTCTCCGATTCCAGGAGATTCAAATGAAAGCTGAAGCACCATTTCAAAAGTTCTTGACAACCAACAGCAAAGTAAATATTCTTCACAAAACACAAATTATTTTTTTTTTCTTCTTCTAAAACGATTCACTTGGTTCTTTATCATAAATAACCCACCAGGTATATGTATTATAGGTGGTCCTCTACCATGTTGGTTACTTGCATGAAAAGCAGAATTGATAAACCAAAATTGAAATTCAGATTGTGTTTACATTGCAATTTAGGCTCTTGCAAAAGGCGTGAAACCACTCCTCCCTGAACTTTTATTCATTGCTCGATATTTTATCATTGGTACGACAGAAGAGAAAGCACTTGGATAAATTATTTAGCATATTCATTTTTTTGTTGCATGCTTGCATATTAAAGGAAAAAATCAGATCTTTTTCTAGAAAGTGAGCTTTATCTTTTAATATAAAAAAAAAAAAAAAAAAAACTTTGAATAAATGGAAAAGTTTGTTGCTTGACTTGAAAAGTTAAAAACGTTAGACATTCTTGATTTTCCTTTCATTTTTTTTTTTACCCACCTATTTCATTAAACAGTTCTTCAACTTTAACCTTATATCATTCAGATGCTTTCTTTTTTTTTTCCATATATTCTCTGACCATATTGTTTAACCCCGTGTTAGTCACATGGGGCATTTTGTTACCACCAAATTTTTAAAATACTTGCAATTCCTAATTGGCAACTTATTTCTTTTGCTCCCTCCCACTACACAGTAGACTCAGTGAGGGTGTGTAGCATGCGATTTGGCATAGTTGTAGCTCAGTTGTTGTGGGGGACAGATGCCAGGGTATTATCCATGTTCAGAAATCAGAGGTGACTAATGCAGGGTTAAAGTTGGTATTTTCTTGATTTCAGACAAAAATTTGAAAATTCTCAGATATTTCAGTGAAATTTTTCACTTTCCAAAATTATAAGTTTATCATTTTTGTTTGGAAAAAAAGAAAAGGTGTCCATTAATACAGACACTAGAAAGATACAGGTTACAGAAATTATATAAGAAGACTGAAAACCTTAAGTTTAAAAACAAAAAAAATGACAGAAAGTAATGATCTTGTCTTCATAGCAGTTTATGCAACACAATTTTCTAAATTTGAATGTTTTTTTTTTGTTTGTTTTTTTTCTCTCCATACTTTTTATAATGGTCTAAATGTTAGGGCTTTAAAATTGTACATTTTAAAAATATAATATTAAAACAAATGTCAGCGGGGAAAGCAAGGATAAGCAAAGAAGCACCCTTCAAAAAAAAAGGGGGGGACTACCATTTCTGCTGATCCATTTGTTCTGGTTGTCGGGGTTAAATATAACCGGTTCTTTATTTATATTGTTGATTCTCTCGTATTTTTCTCTCCCCCCCTCCCACTTTTTTTTTAGTTGATGTGCCCATATTTATGTTTTGTCCTTAAATGAACTATGAAGACCGAGGAGTGACAACTGGTAAGCCCATTTTTGCCAATTCGTTTTTGTTAGATTTTTTTTTTGATCCACCACTTTATGATGAGTATTTTTTTTTTTTTCTTTGCTTATCCTCCCTTTCTGTTTCTTGTATATATGATTCAGTCTGCTACTGGTAGCATGTAATGGGGGGGGGGCATCTAAACCAGCTACTCCATTAGCTTTTCCACTGAGAAGGAGGGTGGCAGTGTGAAAAAACAAAACCTGTCAAAGTGGATAAGCTTCTTCTAGGAGCCAACACACACACACACATATATATATATATATATATGGCTATGATGTGGTCTCAAACCTTGAATGACAACCCTCCTAGAGATAGCATCACAATAAAAATACTTGTACTATGTCGAGTGTTATATAAATTTTTAAAATGTTCATTTTTAAAGTCCTAATAAACATAAAAAAGGTAAATGTCAATTATTCCTCGGTTGTATGGTCGCCCAGACATGTGAGCCCCTTTTTCTTTTACCTTAATGTCAATTGACATTATATTTATGAGGCAAAGCTGCTCGCCATCCCTGGTGTAATTTTTCGGACAGTTTCAAAACTAACCCATGATATCTCTTATCATATGCCTGGTTGTGATTTTCCAGCCCATCTGAAGAATTATGAAAATAAAGTTCCCTGGCATGAACCTCATCCCAATTGGGAGCAAACTGTCTGTGGTTGAATGAAACCCACTCAGTATACCTGCAGTCAGTTGTCCTCATTGAATATCCCATGATTTTTATGTCTGCCAACTTTGGTAGATCAGAATTATGTTGTGGGGTATCAGATGGCCGAGGATACTGACTAAATGCAGCCAATTTCCCATGCTCACCAAACTTTCCTTTCTTTTTTTTCAATTCTACCGTTTCCTTAAGGATTTTCACAAGACTAACACCTTCTGTGCAAAAATCAACTCTAGAGGAATTTCTTGGACACAGTCCAGGCACAGACAATCCGGCCAATTCAGAATAAGTTGGGAACATATCGACAAGTTCAACCAATGCATCACTGATCCAACCTGAGGTTTGGACAGGAGTAGTTTTCTTAGAACTGATGTTTGGATGGTTGAATCGGATGGTCAAGTCTTCATTTTCTTGTGAAGCTTGCATCATTCTCCATTTTCTTTCATGTTGCCTCATAAAATGGTTAGCATCAGTTCTCAGTTGCGAGTTTTCCCAGCGGAGATAGGCATTTTCTGCAGACTTCTTCCCGAGGAATGGGAAGGAGGTTGATGCTTTCAGGTTTCTCAGAGGATCTTTGAAGGGGAAATTTGTACCAGCTGGACCAGGCTTTGACGTCAAGCCAGGGACATACATCATCAGTGGAACACGGACAGCCACTTCAAAATTGGAAAATTTGGACCACTCTTGATGTTCACCTAATGACCACCCTGAAAAGGAAAAAAAAAATATATAGGTCAATTAATGTCGAATATTTCCATATATGGAATGGCTAATATTGCTGTTACCAAGACCTTCAGTTTTGCTCTAAATTCTGCTTTAGGGAAATCTATGACAAAGTGGAAAAAGTTTTCATGTGATGTGTTTTTTTCTTTTAGGGCCACAATGGAGTTGAGAAATATATTTTCCTGACAAATTGCTTTAATAGAAAGATTGTAGAAATTTTAATTGACTGCAGTAGTGGCTGCTCAGTCAATGAATATCAAATATTTCCATATAAGGAACAGCTAATAATTACCAATTGTTTTGCTTTAAATACTACTTTAGGGATATCTATGACAAAGTGGAAAAGGTTTTTGTGTGACATGTTTTGTCCTTTAAGACTTCAGACTAAAATGATGTTTCTGTTTATAAAACTACACAGGCATACATAGTTTACATTTCATGTTCTAAAACATTATGTAAGCTATATAATTTCTTATTTTTAGTTAATACAAACTGGATAAAGTGTTGTACAAATGTTAAATTTACCTGTTACAAATACTAATAAAACCAGTGTGTATTATCAACAAGAGATGTTTTTTTCAAGAGATTGGTAAGCCAAAGTTAGGGGTACATATTATTTGGGAATAATTAGAGTATTCTGGCATCTCAAAGACAGTGTGCCATATTTCTGGGCCCAATGTTCATTCCATAGTCAGTGTTGAATCCTGCTTACATCTCATGGCTGCTACAACTAAATTGCTTCCTTTCCTCTAACACATACATCAAGAGCATGCTGAACAACAGCAAAACCACAATACATCCATTATTCAACCAATTTGAGGTCCTGACTTCTTCAGCTGACAAGGCTAAATGCTTTACTTGGAAATTCTCATCCAATTTGATGCTAGACTCATCTTGTGTACCCACACCTGATTTTCCTCCCAGAACCAAGGCTCTACTGAGTGAGATGCACATAACTCCAACAATGTTATTAGACATCATCTCTAAATTAGACTCCCATAATGGCTAGTGGTGGGGACGGGATACCGGCCATTGTCCTGAAGAAATGTGCTCCTGAACTGGCTCCTGTCCTCTCCAAACTATACAACTACTGCCTTCCACACTCTTGCTTTCCAGCCTGTTGGAAGTCCTCATCTGTTGTCCCTGTCTTTAAGAACTCTGGAGACCTTTCTGGCCCATCTAATTACTGTCCTCATTACCGAAGAGTGGTAAAATCTTCGAGGCTTTAATCAACACCGAAGTGGTTAAACACCTTATTTCCCATAGTCTGCTCTCCGACAAACAATATAGTTTCTGCTTTGCCAGATCTATTACTAATGTGCTCACGGCTATAACTGAATTTGTAGACCAAGCACTTCAAAATAACGGAGAAGCTCGATCTGTGGCTCTAGATATCTCTAAAGCATTTGATAGGGTTTGGCATGTCGGCCTTCTTCGTAAATTTCAGGGATATGGCATTACAGGATGATTATTTGATTTTAATACAATCATTCCTGTCAAACAGTGAAATGAAGATCGTCCTAAACTGGTCCTCCTCCAGCTCCTTTATCACGAATGCTGATGTTCGCCAAGGATCTATCTTAATGACCTTCCCAATGTCATCAGTTCCCAAGTAGGCATCTGCGCAGACGACACTACTATTTAATCCGGCCTCGCTAATAAATCTGGCACCATTGATAAAACTAACTTTTCTCTGGTTCCCAGACTGCATGAATTTAAGTGTGCTACTAGATTGGCATCTCGGTCCCACTGAAACTGTCGAAACAGTTAAATGTAACCAACTCTTCTACTCCAACAGCTTCTCTTGCACTTCATGACAGTGGAACTCCTTCCCTCTTACTTGCTTCCCTGATAACTATAATCTTCAAATATTCAAGTATAATGTCATTCGATATCTTCTGATACCTTAACCTTGTTCCCTATCCTTCTCATTATTCTCTCCCCAAACATGCCTCTTTATTCTTGTTCTCCACCCTCTGTAACCCCTTGTGTGCTAGTGGCACTCCCACCTTGCTTGGGGTGAAATGCTTTAAAAAAAAAAAAAAAATCTGGCCAAGTTCAGCTCTATAATTGCAGAAAGGGGTTGTCTCTAATTTTTTGCTGTGTCATGTATCTGTGACAGAATGTGCATAGGGTGCTGAAAAATTCTCAGCCTATCCAACTTTAGTAAATCTGATCAAGCACTAGGATTTTTTGGAAATCCTTTCTTAGATGAACCAAGAAGTTTTTATTTTTCTATCATACACATCGATAAGTTTGTAGCTTAATCATGAAAAGGGCACTTCTTTTTCACAACATAATCTCACTTTGTCAATGCATTTAACTAAGTTTTTCTCCATTAATCCTATAGATTGAACATTATACAGTGAAAATTTCACGTCTAAATAAGCAGCATAGATACTTTCACCAAGAATTAAAAAGTTCAAATCTTAAATAAACAACATTAATTGGGGTAAATGAAAAAAAAAAAAAAAAAGGAAAGGTAATTCAAAAAATTGTTTTTATTTTTAGATGTTTAGTTATTTTCGAATGAGATGGTGTGGGCGAGGCATTAATATATTTGAAAAGAGTATAACGACTTTGTCCTATTATAATGAGCAACAAAATAACTGCAATTTTTTTCAGTTTCTTTCATGAGAATTTTGTAGCCAATGGCTCCCTGATTTGAAAATAGAATTCAATTACCAAAAATGGAATTTCAAAAAAAAAAAAAAAAAAAAAAGATATTACATTTAGATAGACATTTATTTTAAATTGTTCATGCAAATTCATGTTTAAATTCTGACCACATCTTTTTTGTATTAATACCCTTGGAAATGGTCTTAATGCTTTTCCCTTGAGCTATAGATTAAATAGAAGGGTAGACTTGCATCTCTTGCCTTTGTAGGTCAACAGTCTAAGGTAGTATTTCTCAACCTGTTCACTTTAGAGTGCACTTGTCAAATGACTAAAACTTTGGGGCTCACTTTAAATTTTAATAAGGAGAAATAAAGAACACTCCTGAAGTAAACATTTAATTTTTAAGACATTATATTGCTTGGTGTCTCTAGCTTTTTAAAAATGGAGATTTTTTTTTTTTTTAAATAAAAAAAATAATTCCTAAATTATTCTTCTGTTGTTGAGAAGGATAACTGAGTTCAAAAACCATCTCAAAGAGAGATGGGTTCCATCAGGTTATCTTGGACACACCCAATAGTACTACAGCTGCAGTACATGTAATGCATGTTCAACTCCAATGGTTTATAGAACTTGTGATATATATTATGTAAGATAAAAATTTATGCATCTTTTCTAATCATTCTGTTAAACTTCATCTCATAAGATTAAATGACATCTAATATAATATTGATTAAAAGTTATTGTCAAAATTGACTTAATCTAGAAATGTCAAGCTAACTTTAGAATTCGTTTTGAGTAGAATAAACTTAAAAGGGCAACATAGATGAAAGTACAAACCATGATCTCCAACAAAGGATACGATTGTATTCTGAGCGAAGCCATTTTCGTCAAGGGCAGATAATAAATGACCGACTTGTTCATCCATGTAACTTGTGGCAGCATAATAACTCTGAATGATCAGTTTCTAAAAAAATTACCAAAAAACGTAAATAAATTCAATCAAATAGACAATAAATTTGGGAGACAATTTTCATTGCATTTATCTGGTTTGACTCCATCTTTTTGACAAAATTTCAAATATTGTATAGATAAGTAAAAACAAAAAAAAAACAGTTTTGCCAATGCATCTTAAAGACTTGGATATAAAAAAAAAAAAAAAAGAGAAGCATTGAAAATAAACATTTTAAGAATTAACTGTAATGAAAAATATTGGAAGATTGATTTTTATTACATTTTTTTTATTTTTTTTTTTACTGGTCCTGGGTTTGACCATTGCAAGAAGGTACATCTGTTTGTAGATAAGACTACTGCAAAACTCCCCAAACAAGGCATGACCACCAGACTCATTTGGCCTCTGCTTGCCTCTCTGCTGTTCTTTTGCACATGCTCATTTTATCAAGTGACTGATAAGCCACAAATTTGTCTCACAAATTCTCTGAGCTATGAAATCAGGTTTTCCTTAAATTGTAGCTTTTGAATTAGTCATGTTTTCTTCCAAGTATCTTGCATGCACGACATGTACAGTTACATTTTGTTCCAGGAGGTAAGCAGTTTTCCCTTCTACATCCAGCAGCAAGACCTCTGCTCGGGAGATTGGAGGTTTTGAGGAGTGTTGTTGTTCCCAGCTCCACCTTGACTCAGGGTGGTAGCACCTGTTAGGGTCCCAGCTATGGGCAAATAGTGAACCCTCAAACAAAAACAAAACACTATGAAAGTATAAAAATACATTTTTATGGTAAAATTTCCAACAATATATTTTATAGTAAAATGACTAACAATACATTTTACCTGTAGTTGAAGCCATAAAATTATGTACAAAATATTTAGATTTCATCATTAAATGACCCATAGAGGTTTATATGCTGCTAAATAAAATTAACCAACCAATGTTTTTCTTATTATATAACAAGTGTATTTAGATACACGTCTCTAACTTCTCCGGTGCAAGGGAGATAAAATTGATTATCTCCCTTACACAACCAATGCCTGGTAGAAGTTGTTTTGTTTTTATTTATATATATTAATTACACGCCAAGTAAGGTGATAATGCCACTAAGACACAAGGGAGTTACTGAGTGTGAAAGGATCTGTAAGAAAAAAAAAAACAACATTAAGGAAGAGAGAGAGGACAATAAAACAACAAGAATTAAGGAGACAGACAATGACGACTGACATTGTATTTAAATTTTTGAAGATCACACATGACTGGAAAGCAAAAAGTTGGAAGGGTTCCGCAAGTGAGAAGTGCGAGAGAAGAAATTATTAGAAATAGGACTTATGATTACGTCTATCGATTTTGACAGTGAAATGGTGAGACCTATCTGCCACTCTAGTACTATGCTTAAATTTGTGAAGTTGAGATACCAAAAGTGAGAAAGTGTCATCTGAATAAAATTGCCATGAAAAATATTTGTAGAAAAGGCACAGAAAGGCTACATTACAATATTGGGAAAGTAACTGAAATCAAGATGCTAGGTGAGGACCAATCCTATTATCTTTGGATTTTGTCAAAAATCTCTAGATACATATCAGAAACATGAGATCAGATGTACAATATTCAATGCATGGATGAATAGTAGGCTTATAATTATCTCTTAAAATAACAACAGACCATTCCAAGATATTTATAAAGCCAGGAGGGTTAAAGACTGACTTTGTGAAATAATTATTAGAAAAATAAATTTAAAATGCCGTTATTTTTTTATGGCATTGGTAAAAGTAGCTCTTAAATAAAATTCTATTTTTTCTATATACTCCAGAAAAAAAAGTTTATCATGGCAAGATACTAAGATTTTGGCTAAAATTTTTCAAAAATTATAAAAGAAATAAATCCATTGGGCCACTTTTTGTGTAACAGATTAAAATTAACAGGTGAGAGATGAAAATAGATTAGACAGGCTCATTTCAATTTTAAAGTATGGAGTCACAGTGGAGTAAATGGATTAGTAGCCTTAGATGCAGAAAAAGTGTGACGCCCCTATGACTCTAATGATTGGGAATAACGTTAAGAAATTTGTTTAATTTTACCTTATTTAGCACTTAACTGTATGAAATGTTTGTTTATAATATGTGCCAAAATACAAAACTGTTTGAAAACACAGGATGATGGACATTAGAAATCTTATAAATATTGTTAGAATCTGGAAACAAAAAGGGAGAAAAAAATTTTTTTCATTTTTATGAAAAATCTTATACATTAATATAATTGTATTGACTTTTATTACTTTTATATTATTTATTGCTTTTATGCCTTAAATACAAAAGTTGAAGCAAAACTTTGTTTCACTTTACTCATCCATTTACCAATCTCTGCCTAAAAGATGTCAAATCTCCGTTAGAGGAGAAAAAGGAAATCATTTTGAACCTTTAATTGATGTCCAATTAAATTAGATTTCAATTAAACTAATAAAATAATAAGATGGTAAATTAAAGAAAACAGTCTATTGCCTAACAAGCTTGTGGAAATTGTTGATAAAATAGGGATTAGGAGAGATAATGAAAAGAAAAAAAAATTACTAATAGCTACAAAAGGATGGGAAATTGTGGAGAGCCATAATCTCCTACATCTTGAAGGTACATGGCACATAGAAGAAGAACAAGCTTGTGTAAATGGTTGGCAAAACAGGGATTAGGAGAGATAATGAAAAGAGAAACTTTACAAAAGACAGGAAATTGCAGAGAGTCATGATCACCAATAATCTGATGGGACGTGACACAGATGAAGAACTGATCAGTGGAATGAGAACAATCTAATCATGTGGAATAAATAAGGGGTTTAGCTTGAAATTTCCTGAAGTTTGGATTAAAAAGAACAAAACAGAATAACGCACATTGTGATATCAACAACAAAAATGAAGATAACCATTCAAATGTAAATAAATTTCATTTTGTTCAAAATGGAAACAAAACATTTCCAAAGTTGCCTCATCATCATATAGAACAACCTCTCTATATATATATATATATATATATATATATATATATATATATATATATATATATATATATATAAAAAGTTTCAAAAAAATTGAAAATTATAATGTTTTATTTTATGAAAGTATTTATTTATTTATATATATATTTGATATTTCAAATTGTCCTCAATTTTTCATCAGAAATAACTGTTTGTTACAAATAAATTAAAATTACTGTTAGTTAGCAAGTAGCGTCCTTCGCGAGACGCAGACGTCACGTGATATGGAACGTCATTGTTCGGATATTCCTAACTTAAATCTAACTGTCATAAATATTTAAAAAAAATTTTTTACTATATCTAAAAAAATTGCTTAACTACTGAAATATTTATAAAGATTTAAAACACGTAAGTCCCTATTCAACCCTAGTTTATGTGTATTTAATTTTAAAATCCAATATGTTTCTTTTTTTCTGCGTGTGAATGTGGAAGTAAAATCGGAATCTATACGTGGCTTCTCATTATGCTATATATATATATATATATATATATATATATATAAGCTTTAAAACAAGATCATATTTTATACATTTAAAAAAAAAAAAAAAAAGATATGAAAGTATCATGACAATTAAAATTTTAAGTACCTTTCAGGCAGACACATCATCAGGAAAAAATAATATCATTGGCAAATAAAACTAAATGGCTGAAAAGAAAAATTATTTTCAACAACTGGTGTTAAAACATACCAAAACTAGGGGAGGGAACAAAAAAAAATTTTTTACTATTATATATATATATATGGCAACATACACACCCAAAGTATTGAATCTCAGTGGAAACACTGCAAAAAAGAAGCTGCGAAACCAGAGTGGTCCTAGACAAGAATTATTCCTATCCTCTGTGAAGAAATGCATGTGCAGGGGGGAAAAAAAAAATCTTACCAGAAAATCTAAACAAGGACATTTTCACCTGTGTATGTCTAAATATTAGTTAAAATAAATAAAATCATGTTGCATTTTGAACATTATACATCATTTTGCAAAACTCCTAAGCTCTAAGTACTCTCGTCACAAGTGTTAGATTATCTTTTATTATTTAAGAAAAAAAAAAAAAAAAAAAAATATATATATATATATATATATACACAATAAAGAAATGAAAGACACAAAAACAAATCTTTACTACATTACTTAAAAAAACGAAAACAGAAAAGAAAAAAAAAAAGAAAATAAAATAAAAAATAATAACAAATAAAATAAATTAATCCAAATAAATAAAGTAAATAATAAACAAATTAACAAACCACTCCCACCAAAATAACCATTAGAATGGACTACCCAACAATGGACCATTGACTTGTATACATAGTTGTGAAAAACACAACACGTGGCCTGATGATTGAATTTAGCACGAAGCAGTCTGTTGTGTCTGAGTATTGACTTCAATGTCCATTTATATATATATATATATATATATATATATATATATATATATATTTCTGAGATGAGATATTGTAACTATTTATATTTTCCAGACTGTTGTCTTCACCTTTATTGTCATATTCATAATGTCTCAGCCGTTGTATGCTCTGGCCTTCTTCAGGGGACATTCACATGGCCCAGTGGATAAAAGCATTGGTTGAAATAATTCAGTCACTTGACTCAAAGACTTCCGAGTTCAATACTTGACCACAGCAGAGGTGGACAAAAACTTGGAGAGTTGGGTTACTAAAAGGAAATAACTGAAATTGAGATATCCAGAAAAAGTGTGGCATGCTAGAACAATCTACCCTGGTGGATGAAATAAACGGTTCAGTTTGAAATTCCAACATATACCACCTGAAGAAGCCTTAACAATGTAAGTAGTGTAAATAGAATACAGAAGAATTTTTGCATTTCTGTAAATATTATAATTTGCTTATTTTTTGTGTCTGTGTGTTGGCAATTAATCTTGGACAAATATTGAGTTTTAACTCACTTGAAAATATTCAGGAATGGGTCCGTAAGGGTAGCTAACATTAAGTTTCTGGACATCATCTCTTCTGCGGATATCATCCCATGGATTCCAGGCCACTGATGGAAGACCCGGTGGTAAAGTATCATCTGCTGGAAGTTTTATTTTGGACAGAGGGTACAAATCTGGAGGGAAGAAAATAAAACAAATACATGAAATAGAAAAAAAAAAACAAGTTAAATTTAATCACAGTTCTCTATTGCGTGTTTAGAAGATGATAAACTGTGAACTGAAATTATTTACAATTTATGTGATCTTAGTGAAACAAATAAGGAACTTTGCACCTTTTTGTAAGGGTTAAACATTACTACTGAGTAGTCAGTTCGATTCTCAGTGGGTACATAACCTAACAAGCGTTGGGCATGTTGTAAAAATCAACCACCCAAACCTACAGTCATTAACAATGCATTTTTCATAATAAAATCATTTCTGGTAACCAGAGCAACAGGTAATGGTTAACGAGACTAGTCTGGTTGACTATTACTACTGAGCAGTGAGTTTTGATCCTCACTGGGTGCCTCAGAACAAATTGAACAGGTTTCAAATTTAGTGAAATTGGATTTGTAGGAGACCAACCTCCACAGATCTAATTTTGATGTAAGCTAGCAAAATCAATTTCTTGCTTCTTACATGTTAGCAATTAGAATAAAATATCCAAGTTCTGAATATAACTGAATACATTTTAATGTTTCAGAGCACAAAGAATGGCTGTTAATGTGAATGGGCTTCAGACAGTTAACCCAAAATACAGGTTTATGAACCACATGTGGAATATATTGAGAAACATGCAAACAAAACCAATTCCTATCCACATTACCAATTTGCATCATTCAAAGTCAATAAGTTTTTCTGATATCTGTCTATATTTCTGAGAATTGAGGTATTGTAACTATTTACATCGTTCAGACTATTGTCCTCATATTTATTGCCATATTCACAGCATTTAGGTCATTGTACACTCCGGCCTCAGGTGATATATGTTTAAATTTTAAACCCTAACCCTTCAACTCCATGTGCAATGCCTTTTTTGGATATCTCAGTTTCAGTTAAGTGTCTTTAGTAATTTGAGTTTTTGTCTATCTCTGCCATAGCTAGGTATTGAACTCACAACTCTTTGGGTCAAATCACTGAGATATCCAAATAGGCATGGCACTTGAAATTAGAATAATCTACTGCTGTGGACTAAATAAAGGGTTCGGTTAAAAATTCCAATGTATATCACCCAAAGAAGGACGGAGTGTAAAACGGCCAAAACATGGTACATATGGCAATTAAGATGAGGAAAATGATGTAAATACATTTCTCTGATGTGTCATAAAATAGTTTAGAATCTCAACAACAAATTCATTTGAATTTGGGACTGAAGCTAAAAAAACTGAATACCAAATTGTTTTTGTGTACTAACTGAAATTTATATTTGTGTACTAAATGAAATTTATATGCCTGAATCAAGGATCAAGGTGATATTGAAGAGAATGAACAGTGTAGATACCCATGTATGTCGAGAACCAGTGAGATTTATGTATATATATATATATATTTTTTTTTTTTTAAGCATTTCACCCCAAGCAAGGCGGGAAGCCACTAGGACGCAAGGGGTTACAGAAAATTTAGAACAAGATCAGATAGGAGTGATAGAAGAAAGGATGAGGGTAGTGGATAGATCAAGGCAACTGGAGATGTCGATTGACATTACACTTGAATAGCTGGAGATTATAGCTCACAGGAAAAGGGAAGGGAGTTACACAGGCGAGACATGAAGCTATTAGAGTAGAAGAGACGGCTACATTTAGGAGTTTCGACAGTGAAGGGGTGAGAGCAAGATGCCAGCCTCGTAGGGCGCTGGAACTCATGACATCTGGGAACCAGCAAATGCAGCTCCCTCGGAGCAATTTCCATGAAAGTATTTGTAGAACAGACAGAGGAGGCGCGGCGGCGTGTGAGAAAGTGACTGTAGACGAGACGCCAGGGCAGGGCCAACCACATTGCATATCCGCCTCTGGAGCCTATCAAGAACGAGGCAAACAGAGGGGCACCAGACCATATATGGCAGCAATACTCCATGCAAGGGCGCGGTGTGGATTTGTAGATCTGGAGGATCGACTCTGGGGAGAAAAACTTCCTGGCGTGGCTCAGGAGCCAATTTTTCCTTGCGGTGGACGAGGCAATTGACTCAATGTATTTATTCCATCTCAGGTCAGCAGTCAACGTGAGACCGAGAAGCGCAGAGAGTTGCTCTCGAGAAGTTGAGCGTCAGACATTCTAATGGAGGGAAGGGAAGGATCTCTGTGGTGATTAATAGAGAGCAGTTTTGTTTTAGAAGCGTTGAAGTTGACCAGCCAATTCATGCCCAGTTCACAACCGATTGGAGGTCCTTTTTTCGAGATGCAATGCCAGGCGAGTTTTGTTAACAAGACTAGATTTGTTTTGAGGCAGGAATAAATTGTGGTGTCATCCGTAGATGCCAACAGGGAAGTTATTGCGTCAGGAAGGTCATGTAGATAAGGAATAGAGTGGGACCCAGGATGGAGCCTTGAGGAACACCTGTGTTCGTGGGATAGGAACTGGAGGAGAATCCATTGAGAACAACCTTCAATTTACGGTTTGACAGGGATGATCGATTGGGTTATATAATCGACCCGTAATGCCATAACCTGGAGCTTGCGAAAGAAGGCCGGCATGCCAAACCCTATCAAATGCTTTGGAGATGTCTAGTTCCACGGCTGGGGCCTCCGTTATTTTGGAGAGTCGGTAGACTGTTTCAGTGATGGCTGTAAGCACATCAGCTGTATATCGGCAAAGCGGGAAACCATATTGCTTTTCCGAGAGCAGATTATGGTATGTGAGTTGGTTAACCACCCCGATATTGATTAGGGCTTTGCCAAAGAGAGGAAGGAGACTGATAGAACGGTAGTTGGAAGGGTCAGATTTTTCAGAGTTCTTGAAGACAGGAACGATCAAGAGGACTTCCAGCAGTCAGGAAAACAAGATTCCTTGAGGCAGTAGTTGTATAGTTTAGAAAGGGCAGGCGCCAGTTCAGGCACACATTTCTTCAAGACAATGGCTGGTATCCCGTCTCCACCGGGTCTGAATTGGATATAACGCCCAGTACCAAAGATGGGGTTATGTTTAACCCACTCAATATGGCCTCAGTTCTAAGAGGGAAGTCGGGTATGGGTACACGGAAGAGTCGAGCGTCGAGTTGAATGAAAATTTTCGAGCAAAAGCATTCAGCCTTGTCGGTAGAGGAGGTCAGGACTTCGAACTGGTTGAATAAAGGAGGTATAGAGGGTTTGCAATTGTTCAATATGCTCTTGCAGAGACGCCAATAATCTTTGGAGCCAAATTTGTGAGATGCTGTCGTTCCTTCATCGAGCCACAAATAGTGACTTAGCATCGTTGAGGACACGCTTACATAAGTACGGGCACGGGCAAAGAGACGTCTATTGCAGTCAGACATGTTGCTACAGAATAGGTGGAAGTAGTGGTTTCCTATGGGCGATGGCGGCTGAGCAAGCAGCCGAGAACCAGGGGAGGAGCGCGACTTGACCCTATATTTCCTTGATGGGATGAAAGCATCGATTCCAGCTTTAACCCAGGAAGAGACCTCAGCACATTCTTGGACGAGGAGCTTAAAGACTCCATCCCAGGGGACATCGGAGGAAATCACGGAATGCGTCCCAGTCAGCTCGTTGATAGTAGAACGAAGTTCTAGTGGTAGGAGGTTCTTTGCAGGGGTGGAGTTAAAGGAGATGTTAACTGATACTACTGCATGATCAGAGTTACCAAGACGGCAGAGTTTTGAATGGCGCTGCAGGATTGGGGGATGGAGGTAAAGCACAGGTCGAGAAGAGAGGCTACTTTTCCGGTTGAAGGCAGCAAAACAAGTGGGGAAGTTAACTATCTGTGAGGGGAATGGGAGATTGAAAAATTGAGCATTTGAATGCCTGCGTGGTCAGTAGTAGCATTTTTAAGCCACATGGTATGATGTGCGTTAAAGTCGCCAAACACAAATATGTGGACAAATGGGTGGAGGGAGAGAGCCATGTCTATGCTGTCAAAAATGCTATCGAGTATCTCACAGTCTTGAGAGGATGGAGAGCGGTAAAGGAAGAAGAGATAGCTTACTGCATTGAGAAGAGATAGTGGGAGACACATATGCGACTGGTCTGGCGATTCGAGGAGACGACTCTCAGCCAGAGGGAGATGGTCCTTGACGTGAACACCAAGGCCGTGCATGGGTTATAGAGTCTTTTCTGAGGAGAGGAAGGTAGCCTGGGATAGAGATCAGAGGAGGGGATAGGCGAGACAAGGTTAGTCTCACAGAGAGCCAGTATATCTGGGCAATTTGCAGTGAGGAAGGATTCCATACTGCAGAAGTTTGTTCTAATACCCACGGATGTTGGAGAACGAAATGTTGAGGGGTTTAGGTGATTTATGAGTGGCTGGTTTAGGGTTACTTTTCGGTCTTTGTAACTCATGTTGAATTTTGTTTGTAGATGAGAAGGCCCAAAGTAAAAGAAACAGACAGTTTCTGACCGTGACGCTGGCGGACAGAGAGGAGTTGGCAAAATCTGCATCATTATGTGGCCTCAGGGCTGCCCACCGGAGGTGACTGCAGGGACACTTTTCCATTCCGCGACATGGCACTACAAACACCCCAGTATTATACAACTGTTGATCAGAGCGGCCACTCAAGACGCTACGCAAGAGTTAGGGCTCCTAACTACCAGTCGGAAACAGCAACCAGAGAACTATCAACCATGTACCCTCAGAATGAAGAGGTGATGCCACAGACTTGCACACATCACGGGAGAAACAGAGCTGCACTAATACAGAGGCCGGAGAGAGAAACTGTACCGGGAACCCCTTCCTAGACAGATATATATATATATGGGAAGATGATATAAAATTTTTTATATATCAAGAATAATTTTAGGGGAAAAAAGTATAACAAAGTGGAATAAGGATTTTGTGACATGTTTTATCCTTTAGGACTTCAGACTAAAGTGATGTTTACATTGATGTGATTACATATGCACACAAAAGAGATGGGGGATGCTGAGAATTTTAAATTTAATTTAATTTTTTTTTTATAATTATAGTCTGACCAATTTAGTTTCTTTTTGTTTATGTTTCCATCACTTTTGTTATTAAAATTCCCCACATTGTGATAATAGAAGTTCTGCCAAGAAAGATGAAACAGAAAAACCTGGATGCAAATTTACTGTGGATAATCTAAATGATTAAACTTTTTTTCCCTGAAATTGTTCTTGATATATAAAGTTTTTTTTTGTTTTTTTTTCAAATTGACGTCACCCCCATGAAAGACATGGGGTGATACTGATTTAAGGCACTAAGACCCGAGGGATTACAGGGTGTGGAAAAATTAAGAACAGAAACATTAATGATGAGTGGAAAGAGAAAAGAGTAATCAGGAGGAGAGTAGATAGCAATTGACATTGCATTTAAATTTTTACAGATTAAAAGAAGAGAATTCCACAAGCAAGAAAAGAAACTGTTTAGGATAAAATTTACATCTTTTGCCGGCTCAACTGTAAATTGATGAGATCTTGATGCCAGTCTAGTACTATGCTTAAATTCAAAAGTCTACGTACCATAGAAAAGAGCTCATCCAAACAATTACCATGAAAGTATTTATAGAAAAGACACAGAGAAGCAACCTTACGGCAGTGGGAAAGTGACTGAAGCTGGGCTGCCAGATCAGGATCAATAATATTGCTGATTCGTCTTTGGATTTTATCATGGAGCTTAAGAAAAATAGCAGGGCCACTGGACCATATGTGGCAGCAATATCCTAAGCGTGGGCGAATAGTAGAATTATAGATATGTAAGAGATTCTGGAGAGAAAAATTGTCTAGCATGACACAGTGAACTGACTTTCTTGCTGACCTAGCAATGGATTCAATATTTTATATATATATATATATATATATATATATATATATATAAAATGATTATAAATGTTTGTCAATTAAGTATCAGAAAGGTGATAAACTGTAAAAAAAAAAAAAAGTACAATCAGTTAATCAACCCCTTATGAGTTTAAAGCCAAAGCATATTTTGAATTATAATAATTCTTTTTTTACTGAGTAAATATTGCATTAACACTTTTTGGGAAATAAAAATTATTTTTCTAAATGCAAGTCCTACTATTTAACCCATAGTTTGAGGGAGAAGAGATGTCAGTATCAGAAAAATTACAGAAATGGTCTTGGTAGCTATTTTGTTAAATTTCATCAAAATTTCTGCATATAATTATTTTTCCTTTCTTATTAAACCAAGAATGTTCCACTTTTCAACATCCACGTATAGAATTTTGAGGCAACCAGGATAATAATCAAATGCAGCTTTAAAATGGTTATAAATGGAATTGATTTCAAGAGAAGTTTAAACCGTAGACATAACTCGAGTAGTTTTTTTGAGACAAGACAGGAAAATAAAATATGTTATTTTCTAGGGGGAAAACAAAACAGAAAAAATATTTACCAAGAAATTTTTTGGGGTATTTAAAAGGAATGTGAGGTTTGTGGTAACCAACTGCCAGAAAAAATGGTTTTGTTTTGTTGTGAACGATTTCTTTAATTAACTTCTGAGCATGTTTTGTGCTCTGGATGTCTGGCAAAGTGCCCTTTGGCATAGATGAAACATCAACTGGACAAATGAGGTTCATATGTTTCTTTCCATCTGACCCTGGACACACCTAGAAAGATGAAAAACAAATTATCCCTTTTGATTGCAGCATATGACTCTTGAATAATACAGGCTTGCTCTGTTTTTTTGAGGACATGAATCTAGTTAAAGACATGTTGTGAAAGAAGAAATTGATTTGAGAAAAAAAATTGGCATGAACAATTTTGAGACTCTTCTTGGTTCATCTAATTATTATTATAAACTCATCATTTATAGATTGTTAGTAACATGAGAAAAATCCATTAAATTTGTGATAATTTATGTAAAGCTAGTAGTTTGATAAAAAAAAACATTAAATGTGGTTTAGATTGTTAGTAACATGACCCCCACAAAAAAAAAAACACCATTAAATTGCGTTGTTATTTATATATTGTTAGTAACATGATAAAAACACATGTTTAGGAAATAAATATTTGTTTTGATCCATTGAAATCTTGAATCATTTACTTGTATTTAATGCAAAATAGGTTGTAGCAAAAATTTAAAAAATATCAAAGTTTTAAAAATGAATAAATACAAAAATATGTAAGTTAAATTTTTCTGTAATTTTTATGGGGGGAGAAATAAAATTTTTAAATATCAAGAAAAATTTTATTAAAATCTATGGCAAAGTGAAAAAACATTTCATGTGATGCTTTTCATCCTTCAGAATTTCATCGACTGATATGATGTTTACGTTGCTATGATTACATATGAGCATGAAGAAGGGATGCTGAAATTTTAAAATGAAATTTTTTTTATAAATTTCAGTGACTCCTCTCCTTCATGTACATGTGTAATCATAGCAATATTAACATCACTTTAGTCTGATGTAATTTTTATTTAAACATTTCAATTAAATCACTTTGAATAATTTTATATGGAAATGTTCTTATTAATTAATTTCCACGCTCTGAGTAACTGTTATATTTTGATTTAAGAATTGTGCTCAATGCATTCATTTTCTAATGTAAAGAATATTAATGCATTCCAACTATTCACAATCAAAAAGCTTTTATAAAAATTAAAAAAAAAAAAGCATTCATTTGCAATTACCTATTGTAAATGAATTTTCTGTGTTTTATCATTTTTAAAATGAAAAATGAAAATTCCCTTTGTATTTTCAACTTAGTTTTTAATAAGCAAAAAACATAACATATAAACCAGCTGTGAATTACTTTGGTCAAGTCGCATTGCTTAATATATTACAATACACTGTATTAATAATCTTTAAATACTATGGTAGTACATTACTGTAAAAACAACTGTTTTCTTAAATGTTTCCAAGAGGAATGAAAACTGACTTTTGCTGTTGATATTACTTCCTATGGAAGCTCAAAAGGAGAAAAATCAAGAATACAAGCAGCAAAAATGCTGAAATTCTGTTTACAAAGAAAGAAAAAAGTTTAAAGAAATAAACTGTTGCACTAAACACTGTTCTAAGAGTATGCATTGGTAGAAAACATTTTTTTTAAGTTGGACTGTTTGTAAAATATGATCAAAAGAATTTCCTGTGTTTACCTTTGCCATTTTGTATTTCTCTGTAGGTGGATGGTAAGCAGGTATACTCCAACTATAAGGGTAATCATCTGTGAAGCCTGAAGCTCGACCTGAGAGAAAAAAAAATCAGAAAAAAAAAGTTAGTAGCAACGTTCTAAGCAGGATCTTTATAAGCAATTCATATTAAAAAAGAAAAACTTTCTTTTTCTGTAATTAAATCCAGGAAAAAAAATATATGAGGGAATAAGAGAGGATGGGGATATATATATATATAGTACAGGTAATCAATCCGTTGGTATATAATCCAGGGGGATCCTAGTAATATTAATTATTAAAACTGATCCACAGAGAGCTTGATGTTTTTAACAGAGCATATGTATTTTTTACAACAAAAAGACAAAACTTATCTCAACATAAAGATAGTGTATTTCAAGCCGTTCTGTATACGGCTATCATCAGTCTCTAAGTGTATGTCTCAGAACATTGTTTTAAATTTATTTTCAATGTCAGTCCTCCCTCTCATAGATGCCTTGTTAATAAGAGTGGGTTTGTGTTAGCAATTGATGGTGGTGTAAGGTATCTTATCCTGGGGGAAGCAGTCTGGAGTTTGAGTTTATTTATGGCCAGGGCTTCTTGTTTGTGGTTTAATATCAATTCCTACTATGTGGTGTTTCTGATAAAAAGCCCTGGAGTGTCTTTTTCTGGGATTCACAGTAAATAATTTTTTTATTAGAGGTGTCCAATATTATGAATGATATTAATAAGAGATGGGGGATTTAAACTTAAGCCCGTTAAGATTAATGTAAATTAGTTGAATTATAGATTGTGGATTATACTAGAGCACCCAGTAGAATAAATCATGCTGTCCAACACACTTATATACGTACATATCTTCATACATACATATATGTACATTTACATGTTCATACATATATGCCACTATACATACACATACACCCACACATATATGCACATATATTCTTATGTAATTTGGAATTTATTTCTATGTCTACATTTCGTGATTAGTTCTCTTTGTTGATTTAATAGTTTGTATTGATCTTTATATTTTATTATCCTGATTTTTTTTCTTCTAATCATAGCATGCACCTATCCCTAAAATTATTGGGGGTGTTCGCAAAACCTAGAATTTTACAATTTATTTGAGGATTCAGACCCTCTTCCTTCAATTCCCAAAATTTTTTTCGAAAGGGCTGTTTGGTGTTTTAATTTTGGATTGGTGAATAAATGTCTTTGTGTATTGATTCTTTTTTAAATTCTCCTGCAGAAATGATGCTGTAAATATTATGGTTTGTCATATTTTCTTTAGGGGTAATGATTGCCTGGTATACTACCCCAGTGGATTTGCATTTGCCCTCTACTGGGTAATTTTCCTTAATTCTACAATTACAGGGGGTTTCCATCTTAGATTTAGTTTTTTTACCCATGGAATTTACTTACAATTGTTATGGGAGTTAATAATTTGGTACATATTATCAGTGCAGGAGTAGCTAATTTTGACTGATTTCCTGTTGAATATCTTATTTAGAGGGTTTTTTTTTGTTATTGAAGTGTTTAGTAATTAGGAAGTACTGTCTGATGTTGATACTTGACAGTATGCAGAAGGGGGGGCGGTTGAACCAAGTGATTTTTTTTTTCCTATTTTTACACCTACATTCCACTTTTCATGTATCGGTATTACTAATTACTGGTTGCGTAAGACAGCTTACTTTTGAAACCACTTTTTTGGAGGGCCTTTTCATATAGTTCTTTATTCTTATTAAAGTTTTTTTTATTGGATGATAGTTTACTAATCCTGGTGCACATGGTAGTGGGTATTTGTCTTAGGATTGCACTGGGGGTGGTTAGAACTGATATTAATATAGCTGGGGGGAGTTGTTCTCTTTATGGTAAGGCTTAAAGTTTTCATCATTAAGGTTAAGGGTGATATCTGGGTAGTCATTGACAGTTAAGGCTATCATTGAGATGAGCAGCATGCTCTTCTTTAATATTTGCACACAGTTGATCCTGATGTTCATGTCGGCCTCAATCAAACCTTTGTGTAGATGAGAAGCAGGACAGGTGTTTATATATATATATATATATATATATATATATATATAGTCATCCACATATAAGCCTGTTTCTCTGTATCACACAGTTCATCAGTGTGGCTAGACATCTGATTGCACAAAGCTGGGATCAAAACTCAACCGATTTGGCATCAGTCAAAGATTCTACTCCTAAGCTATCAGTGCATGAACAAGAAAGGGAAATTTTAACATATATATATATATATGAGATGTATACAAATGCCAGCAGCCAAGAGGGCTCAATTCATAATTAAAGAGTGATGCGTTAATAGCAGCAGCAGCCACTGTTTTTTCTTTCTCTATAGTGCTCGATCGGGTAACTATTATTATATATATATATATATATATATATATATATATATACTAGCAGTAGAGCCCGGCGTTGCCCAGGGATGTAACAGTAAGAGATAGATCAAGTATCGGCCATCATAAAGACTGAAAAGTGAAATTGACAAAGATTATTGTTTAAGGTTGATGGACACGCATGTCTTAATTTGTTTTTGTTTTTTTTACGAATTTGGTCAAACCCAAACAAAAACATTGTTTTCAATCGTTATGAGTCTACCAATTGAATAGAATTTTATTATAAACAATTGTCTTGTAAATGGAATTTTTAAAGCATTCTGAATGTAAAAATAAAGAAAAAAGTGTGCAAGACAATAAGAAACACTACCTGCCCCCCCCCCAAAAAAAAAGTGAATTGTTGAAATCGATTGAAAAATGTAGGAAATCCAATCCCATATATAAACAAACACACACAACCTGGGTTTTATAATAAGTATAACTTGATATGAGTTGTCCCCCTTTCATTCTCATGTTTTCAAATTGATTTTGTGCAAAAAAAAAAAAAAAAAGTGTGTTTTCTAATTTTTGGCGCTGTCAGAACCACCGCAAGGTAATTTTACATAGTCCTGTGAAGTTTTGTTGAAATCGGTTGAAAAATGTAGGAAATCCGATCCAAAATATAAACGTATAGACACACACACACAAACTGGGTTTTATAATAAGTATGATATACACACACACAAACAAGCAACTATACATATAAATAAATATTTTATTTAATTTTTGGTGTTAACAAAACTGTGCTGAATATGGTAGTACAGAGCTACTATAAAGTATATATTAATAAATATACATATTACCTTATGTCAAAAGTACAACTAAGTTTCATGTTCAATACAATCTTCAGGTACTTATAATGGTGATGAACTTTTGTAACGATCAGTTCATCACCATCATATATATAAAATTATGATGATGGATCAGTCCATTCATGATAATAAAGAGGGTAATCAGCCCTTACCACAATTATATATATATATATATATATATATATATAATAAAAAGGCTTAAACACTAATATTCCATGGTCATAATTTATTCCATTGGAATCGTAAATACGATCCAAATCATCAGACCTACAAATTCAAAATGAAAACAGAAAAAAACAACTCCGGAAATCAAAACAGAATTTAGAGAAAGTGTAAGTATGAGGAGGAGGGACATGAAACCTTAACAGAGAGAATTTTAGGAGATGTGGGTGGGGGGGATTTAAAAAGAGGAGAGAAAGAAAGTCGACGGATGTCTAATGCATAAAGATACATTTCGTGGTGACATATACACACCATAGACAATTAGGATAGGAGGGGGAAAAAAAAAAAAGAGAAGAGGTGGGGGAGAGAGATGGGACGAAGGAAAATAAAATTGTGTTTACTTAAAGGGCCGCTTTGTAATTGAGAAAATTAGTATCGACTACAGGTTAGAAATCAAATATAAATATATGAAGATGAATATAACGATTGTCTAATTTAGCAAGGACCAAATATTTCTATGTTCAAAAACACATACTAATACACACAAAAACATATACAATATTTTCCACTAATATTATCTATATATATATATATATATATATAGATATAGATATATATATGATTAGTAATTTGATGATTTGAATAATAATTCATCATGTCTAGACCTAGAAACCTCAACAGAATGCAGAAAAGCTGTTTTGTTCTATTCTGGGGTCTCATCAGTAGTGTGCATCCACTACCGAGAATTGAACCCTGACTGTTACGATACAATGCAATATATATCTGTAGTTTTCAATTGTTTATTTTAAGTTGTTTTTAAGATAGAGGCTGGATAGATTCATGAAACTCTATCAAAATGGATTTTGTGTCTGAAAACACCCCATCCAGACAGGCTTAATCACAAATTTAACAACATAGATAGAATATATAATCCCACAAATCAGGCCCTACCCACATTTCTCATCCACACAAGACAGACATGATTGCAGAGGTGTTGAGGTCTCTCACTTATACACACACCCATACTAATATATAGACTTACACCCATACTAATATATAGACTAACACACATCATACATACTCCCGAAGAGCTAAATGATAGCATACACTTAACACAAACATATTCCCTTCCCAGGAACCAATAGAACTGTCAAAATGACCAAGGGAATTCAGAGTAGCATGAATCTAAATAACCTTTATGTTAAATAACAAACTTAAAAGAAACCGTTTGACCAACACAAGGACTGACCAAAATTAATAAATAAAAAAACAAAAAAACAAATGAAAACTACAGATAAAGTTCATTTTCTTCAGAAAGTTGTTCATTCCTGTAGGTCACTGCTACTAACAAGCAGATATATATATATATATATATTCAAACATATTGTTAAATATAACAGACAACGAATGTCTATCATGTTTGATCATGAACCATCTAAACTTCATATAGTTGCTTTAATTTCCGGAGAAAATAAAGACAAAAATTGTCCAACATTTGGATATTTTTTATTAAGCTGGTTCTTGATATAAGCTTTCAGCTCATGTTAGTCAAAGTTTAAATCAAGGAACAGAGTAGTTATATGGACATTTAAACAAAGATATTCTGCTATGCTGACATAGAAGATTGTTATGTGATGATAAAACTCGCAGAATAGCAGACACAGGTCATAAACTCATGATGTGGTTCTATGATGTTGTACCACA